CAATCTGTGATTATATCATTATTACAAACTTAAAAGTTATTTGAAAAAAAATTTACATCCTTAAATAATTAGTGGGATAGGGCCTTTGAACAGGTCATTGGGGTTAAATGTCGCCCTGCAAATGGGTCCTAACCTAAACTACTCACCTTGTTGGAAAGGGAAATTAAGGTTACAGAAGCGATTCCAAGGGTCATGTGGGCCTAGAGGCAGAGCCATGTGAAGAGTCAATAGTAGGGTGGCCTTCTGAGAGCTACAGGAAGAGGCGTCAGGAAATACCAACCTCACCAATACCTTGACCTTGGACTCCTAATCTCTTCAGAATTGTGAGGAAACATTTTCTGCTGCTTACACCCCCCAGTGAAGGGTGTTTTGCTCAGCAAACTGATGCACTGCCCACGTGCCCCAAGACCTCCATTCATTTGGGTTTGTCTTATGACTGGCCCAGCCCTCCAGTCCTTGATACCTCTTCTTAGGAGCAGAAGGGAGGATGGGACCCATTAAGCAAGGAAGACTCAGGCTTCCGCAGCCCTTCCTTGCCCATGAAAGGCTGGTGCTCAGGGGAATCATCCAATACAAAAAGGAGGGCAGAGATGCGTCTGTTGGGCCCAGAGTGTTCAAGGAGAAAGAGGGTTAGAGGAAGTTGTAAAGGGGAGAAGCTCCACCACAGCGCAAGGCCAGCTTCCTGCTGGCACTAACTGATGGCTGCAGCAAATGGAGGGGGAAAGGAGTGGGCATGTTGTACTGTCCACAGTGCTGGGAGCCGAGGGGAGACTCCACCAGCCGCCCTGTCTCAGGGGCTGAGCTCTGATCTCAACTCATCTTTACATATGATAGAACAAAGGTACATCTCTTTCCAGAACCTCAGCCTGAATACCAGTTATGCCCACCTCCTGTCTCCATCCTATCCTCAAGGCCCTCTTCTAGTTTTGACCCCCAAGATTCTCACCAGCAGCACCTCCCTCCTTGGAGTTCAGACACAGTCGTGTCTCTTCCACCTTTACAGCTCTCGACATTTCCTAAAGGCTTCAAGTGCTCTGGTGAAATTCCTTGACTTCTTCTTGGCCCTGGACCACACCCCCAACCAACCAACCACTGCCCTCTGCAGGGACCTCAGCTACACCTGGAATATGCAGCTCTCTCTCACCCAGAGCCCAGGCAATATCCAGATCAAATGACTTTTGGCAAGCTACTTAACCTCTAGGAATCACCGTTTACCCATCTGCTTCACTTATAACAGCAAAAATTCTGCCAACTCCTTTCTAATAGTAGACAATATTGCTAGTGTGGTGTGTGCTCACAAGGGAATATTTTGTATGCAGCCAGAGCCATAGAACAATATTTAGTAACATGGCAAAAAGCTCATGAAATATTAAGAGAAATGAAATTATAAAATCTTGTTTATTATAAGCACACTTTTGCGGAAAAGCATATCAATGCAGAAAAAGAGACTAGAATTGTATATACTATAAAGCCAGGAGTAACTATTCTCTCATTACTCTGCTTTCTATATTTTCAAAATTGCCAACGCTAAATGTGTAGCACCTTTTCTAGTTATTTAAAAAAAAATCATTCTCATTCTCATTTTATCTTTCTCCTCCTAAAAAAAAATAAAGCAATAACAAACTAAAGTAGCAACCTAGTCAAAGGCCGCAGTAAAGTAAGTCCATTACATCATCTCACTTACACTCTCATAAAAAGCAAATACCACTTGATGCATTATGAACTTGGAGAGACAAAAGGACAGCTAAGAAAACTAGGCTAATGCATGGTCACAACATGGAGCTAAGACATGACTGGACTCCTAAAGGGTGGATTCTTGGACCTCAGAGGGCCCAAACAGTTTCTACCACCACGCTGGCATTTCGTCCCTATGGGAACAAAGAGTGCCACGCGCCACCCACAGGTCATTATCCGGCCATCCTGTGAGGCTGAGCCCCACACGCTGCTGTATTGAAATGTATTGAAAAGGCTGCCAGAAGAGCTGAGTCCCCATTCATTCAGTTTTGTCCCCTGGTAATGAGTACCCTCAATTCCCTCCTTACTCTAGAAAAGACTGGCTTCAAAACAGGGCTGGCCTTGTGAATGGCCCATGCAGGAATCCCGGAGCTTGGTTCAGCCATGAGAGTCGGAGGAGGTGACCATTTTAGGAGGAAACACTGCAGGGACTTGAACTGAACTGTTTCACTTTTATCTGGATGTCGAAATTTATGACCTGACCGTAGATGTGTGGCTAGAACCCATCTGGTGACCTACGATACAGGCAACTAACGACAGGTCTGGTCTCTGGTGACCTGCAGCCCAGACAGTGTAGGCTGGCCGACCCTCCAGGCCCACACAGAAAGGATGACTTGGAAACAAGCCTGTCTTTTCCATGTATACTGTGTATATTGTTTCTGCTTCCAATCCAGTGTTAAGTCAGTCATGTTGACAAAACAGGCTCCCTCTAGACCAGCTCTTCTGGAGCTGGAACTGGGGGGTAACCAATATTCTCCCTTCCTCGACAATTCACATCTATACCTATAGTCACAGCTTCATTTCCTTCTGACAGGCCCTCCTCTTCGCAATGGGTTCCCTCAAATACTTTTTTTTTTTTTGGTTTTTCGAGACAGGGTTTCTCTGTGTAGCTTTGCGCCTTTCCTGGGACTCACTTGGTAGCCCAGGCTGGCCTCGAACTCACAGAGATCCGCCTGGCTCTGCCTCCCGAGTGCTGGGATTAAAGGCGTGCGCCACCACCGCCTGGCCCCCTCAAATACTTTTAAAAGCTAAGTTAAGTAGCTTCCAGAACTAGGGCTTAATTAGAATAGATAAATGCTGCAACAGTCTCATGACCATGGACAGTCATTATGGCTCCTGCCATAAACGAATGCACCAGCTAATCTCTGCATATGCTATGGCCTTCTGAAACTGCTCCTAGAGAATTCAATAAAAAGCCACCTATGGAGGCCGGTCTGTGCAGAAGGCTTGCTCTCGGCTACTCCCTCTAAATAGACCCATGAAACTATTTCAGAGAGACCCAGAACAGTTATCTGCACAGCTGTGCATGACTACATTTTGAAATTTGGTCAGACAGAGCAGAGCAGTACAATATCTGTGTATTGTACAAAAATAACACTCAACTAACTCTTCCACAGAAAGAAAGAGGAGCCCAAGTAAAAATTTGGCTGAAATAGTTTTACTACCAAAAAACTCACTACAAATCTCATGGACCAGATAAGAGAATTCAAAAAAGTACCTTGCCTGGATTGGGTACAAATCTCATGGACCAGACAAGAGAATTCAAAACAGTACCTTGCCTGGATTGGTCCTACTACTCTTGGGTCTATATTCCACCTCCCAAACCCAAATACCCCTTATCATACAACTCATACCTCACCCAGTAGGAGAAATATCAAAGTAACTCATCAGAGAACATATCCTGAAGACGAGGGCTTCAGGGAATGTTCTAGAAGCCCTAAACCTATGTGACTGAGAGCTGATAAGATTTCTGGGGTGTTTTCTAGGGAGAGACTTTTCAACGTTTCATTGCCCATTTCCTTCCAAGTGGTGTGATTTGCAACAAGAAAATGACTTTCCCAGGGTCCGGGAGTGACATCAGTCAAGTCAAAGACTGATTGTCCAGCTCATGTTCTGGATACCATTTTCGCAACAAGCTGGTTTAACAGCAGCAGAAAGTAAAGGGTCACCTTAGTGGCCACACCAGCAGGACCTCACCCAGGTACAGCAGGAGCCTTAACCCCATGGAGAGGGGGACCAGGACTACGCATCTCTGCCTCAACAGTCCTAAGCTATATCACACAGTTAGGTCCTAACTAGGTTTGCCTTGCTCCACCTCTGGCTAGGCAAGTGCACTCTCTACTTTTCCCACCCAGAGCTCCTCTCACATAAAGGTCACACATCTATATAGAATACACTTGTTCAACCAAGGCATCAACTCTACAGCAAGCCTCTAGGTGGCTACCTGCTTCCAGCTCTCCTATCTCAGAAATCTCAAGCAGTATAAAGTAGAAGCCTGGTAGACGGGAAGCTTATGTCGAATTTGGTTCAAATTCTATTTTAACTTAAGCCTATAAAATTAGCTTTATACCTCAAGGCACACTGCTGCCATGTGACACTCTGCTTCCCCAGGTAGAGGTCACTTTTGATTCACAGTTCCACACTTACTGGCTGGGGATGTCTTCACTGGAGGCAAAATTATACTTAGTAAGTTAGGGCTGGAGATACTTGGCAAGTGACCACCCAACTGTCCACCAGCACTTGGTCAAGGATACCATTTGTCACATGAGCAAATTGTCACTTAGCTGTTTCTTGAAACCCTAGACCTTGGAGCTATTCCATCTTTCCAGTATAAAATATTAGAAACTGCTACAGCAAAAAAAACTATATATATATATATATATATATATATATATATATATATATATATATATAGTTTTTAAAGTTTGTACATACTTCCTTTCTTCCTAAATACCAGTTCCTGAGCAGACTGTTAGTGAAAACATTACCAGAAGTTACCAGCTTGGGATGATACCAAATGCTGATCATGTAATCCATTGTCTCTCTTTAGGTCCAAAAAGGAAAAAAAAAAAAAAAAAAAAAAAACAAAAAAACTAAGAGGTGAAGGTTTTGATTGTTCCAAATCCCTCTGTGCCACAAAAACACACACACACACACACACACACACACACACACACACACACACACACACACACACACACACACAAAGCAGATTAACGCCAAACCCCTCCAGACCACATCTTTGCCTGCAAGGTCTGGTCAGATGCAAGCAGCATCCAAACAACCCTTGGAAAGATTTTTCAAAAGTGCTCTCATTGAGTGGCCCCTGGATCAAGCATGTGAGAATTTCTGGGGATCCAGCTTGAGTATTCACCCTTTTCAAAGCCCTGGAGATGCTTAACCAGTTCTGCGAACCAGTGCCCCAGGTAAACAGGGTCCTAACTTTGCACCACTACACCAATACATACAGAAGAGGCAGTGCCTACCTATGTAGAGCGAGGAGTCCTTCCTCCGCACGTGGTCATCAATGTAGGAGACCCCCAGGGGCTGCACGGGGGTAGCACCGATGCCCAGGAGCACCTGAGCCCCAATGAGCAGCAAGTACATCATGTTGGTGGCTGTCCGGTTACGGCAGATGAGGTCGGGGTCAGGCCCCTCATCGCTGCTGGAGCCGTTGGTGGCGCAGACATCACGGCCCTCGGCGCCCCAGCGGATCTCGCCAGCCTCGTACTTGTACTGGTGGGTGAGGAACTCTGGCAATGCTGACAGCAGTGCGCCCAGGGCCATGACGATGCCACCACAGCCGATAAGGCGAGGTCGGTGCCCACGTGCTCCGAAGTAGCTCACGAAGAGAATCAGCGCCAGGTTCCCGATCTCGAAGCTGCTGGCGATCACACCCACATCAGCACTCTGAAGGTTGAACCTGCGTTCCAGGGTGGTCAACACGCTCACCTGAGGGTGGCAAAAGGAAATTTCAAAGTCCGTCTTAGGAGGCACCCAAGACATCTCCCTGCCCTTCCTGGACCCTCCCACATTGGCCTGGAGATGTGGCACCAGATACAAAAGGCAAGGAGAAACCCAGTGAATCAGACAAGCATCCCCTTCCTTTGATAACAAGTTGACAATTCACTTTTCTAGTATCAAAGATGATTTTTCCCAATATTTGTCTCCATCTTCAAGAGTTCATAGAGGGGACCTATAAAGTCATCCTGAATAAGTTCCAAAGTTCATAGGTTAAACTTTCCCAAATGTATGCTATATATGAAATCTGTGCTATGCTCAAGAACATAGGACCTAGAGGCTCTTTACCAAGATAGCAGCCAAAACCACCTGAGTAGCAAAGCAGACCAGCTAGGTTAGCTCAATAGGATATATTCATCCATCCATCCATCCATCCATCCATCTATCCATCCATCCTTTCCCAAGTACTAGGGATTGAACTCAAGACCTTATGCATGCTAGGGAAACACACTGCCACTGAGCTACATTCCCAGAATCCTTTTTGCTTTTTATTGAGACAGCATCTCAGTAGGCCATGATGACCTTGAACACACCCTCTGGAGGCCGGGCAGGCTTTGTACTCACTCTACGGGCCAGGTAAGTCTTGCACTGATTTTTTTGCTACTCCTCCTTCAGCTTCCCAAAAGGCTGGGATCACAGACTGACACAAACAGGCCTGTTAATGGGATCATAGTTAGCTGCACTTCCTTCTGGAAGTTTCTAAATGACACTGGTTTGCTTAAAGGATCTCTGATAAACAAACAAACAAACAAACAAACAAACAACAAATCCCAACTCACTGTTCTACGTACTGTAGCCCTGCAGAGGATATTTTTATGGGATATTTTTATATTTCCTCCTTCTTTTGTATTCCTGTCTGCCTGTGTTTGTTCAACAATATTTATTGAACATATGCTATTTGCCTGGCAATGGCCTGGATAAAAAGGACAGAAAAATGAGGACACCTGGCCTTAAAAGGCCACCTGGCAGGAAGGTACACACAGCCACCACCAGAACATTTATTGCTAAGAGATCACATTCACAAAGCACATTCCACCCTGGGGGCCCAAGGGGTGACAGCTACCTATCATAAGGCTTATTAGAGGGAAGATGGAGTCCCTCGCCTGTTTGTGGGGACTGTGACCTGTATCACAGGAAGACAGTTGTCCCTGTCATGAGAGATCTGGTGGATGATTGAGGCCCTCACTGGGCAGGGAAGAAACACTGTGAGCAAAGGTATGAACAAGGAGGGCATGAGTTCCTGGCGAAGTGGAGAACTGACCCAGATCATAAATGAGGAACAGCACTGTGGGGAAGGAAGCAAGCTGTACAGTGTGGTAGCAGGGGGGCAGGTCACGGAGGAGAGAAAACAGGGGTGAATCCCGGCTAGTTCCTTAACCTGCTGTGACTCTAGCCAGCTCAATGACCTCCCCTCAGCTTTGATTCTGAGAAATCAGAATTCTACTAGCCCTAGTGTAATGGATAGGAACACAGAAATAATGGTGCAAATCTACTTGGCCAGGAAAGCCTTCCATTTCATGGCAGGATAGTAGAAAAAGGTCATGAAGTTCAAGGGTTAGGCCAGGTATCACATGGGTTCCACCTAACTCCAGGTAACCAAGTTACTCTGTGCTTGAGCATGTTCATCTGAAATGCCAGTAAGAACTGGGGCTAGGATAAACCACACATGTGTGGATGCTAGGAAAGGGTAAGCTCCAGCCATTATGAACACTAGCATTTCTGTGGTTCCCTGGGAACATCCCGGGGTTTACAAGCCTAAGCATCACACCAAGTATGGGAAAGGAATTCTGGAAGAAGAAAGGAATGAATAACAGTGGACAAAGCAGCCAGGCTTTTATGGAGGTGATGGGGAGGGTAGATACAAGGGCCCTCATCAGCACACAGCGACAGGCAAGAAAAGTCGGGGAGGCATTATAGGGGCAGAGCTTTATTTCAGGCAGACTGCACTAAATCTGCTGACCAGTGGATACAAGCTGTTAAAGAAAAGGGCAGGGAGGGGAGTCCCAGAGACACAGGGACACGGTTATAAACACCGAAGCCTTCGCAGCCTCCAAGTCATGTCCCATCTGCTGGTATCCAAGCACATACGGCGATACCTATGATGATGACAACTGTACCCCTGTGTGCCCTTACTATCAAAAGAACAGTGTGGCCAGTCACTGCTCCTTGCGTCCTTTCAGTACATGTATTTAAAGCCCCGGAGCGCAGAGGATCTCAGGCCCTGAAGCCCTTAGTGAGCACCAGGGCTCCCCAGCCTTTGTGACTCAGCTGGGCCCTGAGGTAGTTTTGAATCCGATCCCCAGCTGAATAGGAGGGAGGTGAGAGGCAGGTTGCTAAGGCAGTGAAGCATCATGGGGTTCTTTCCTTCAGCACTCTTCCGCGGGGCAGCCCCACAGAGCAGCTTTGAAGGTCTGTCACACCCTTGATCCCCCAGGGTTCCCATTCAGGTTCCAATTCCATTGTGCTCTCCAGCCAAGGCCAACCCACGACTCACTCAGCCCCCACTATGAGATTAGATGGCTCCTTTCTCTGGAATACCAGATTGTAGTTGTTGCGAACAGAAGATAAACGGGCCCTGGCTTGGTTACAATGGCTCTAAAAGGCTCCCAAAGATGTTCTTTCTGAAAGCCCTGGGCAAGGGAAAAGAAAGGTTTCAATTATTCACTTCTTTCTGCCGTAACAAAAGCATGCATGGTAGACCAAAGGCGCTGGCTTTAAACAGGTGATGTGGTGGGCAGGAGTAATTGGGTAGGTGGCCTAAAGGCCTGGGAGGTGGAGAAGCACATGCTGAGGCTGGGAAGGTGACCAGAAAAGGCTGGAGGAGAAGAAAGCGGTGACTAGTCAAGGTAAGAGGCCCCAGGCAGTGACAGGCCCCAGGAGTAGAGGAGTCTGATGGTGTCGTAACATCCCACTGCTGTGAGAAAATATCTAAGTCAAACAACATAAAGGAGGATTTAGAGGGCTTATTGGGAAGGTTTCAGTCCATTGTCACCGGCTTCATTGTTTCAGATCTATGGATAGGCAGAACAAGATGGTGGGCACCATATGGCGGAACAAAAAAGCCACCACCTCACCAAGGCAGGGAAGTAAAAAGAGAAAGGGAGGAAGAAGATGAGGACTCTAAGCGATCATCTTGAGTGACCTAAGTATCCTTTTCCCTAGGCACCAACTTGGCAAGGTTGCCTGCCTCCCAACACTGCAGGCTGCATTGAAGCCTTTATTTAGCACACGGTCCTACGATGCATGCCTCAACAGGTAGATCTGCAGGGGACACCCTCCACCATGGCAGTAGACTGCTCCACGGTGGAGGAGGGGCTGAAGTGAAGTCTTATTTTATTTCTGCCATGAGGCATGCGGACAGGCAGAGACGACAGCATATCTGAACCCTGTCACCCTGACAATTGCCCCAATTCAGCAAACATGCCCCATCCTAAACTGTCTCACACAGTGCGTGCGTGTTTATGATGCTGGTTAAAGGTCATGGTGGGGATACAGACAGCTGCAGGCAAGACACAAAATAGTCCTTTTCGATCCAGATCATGCCCAGGGCTCTTAGTCCGCCTCAAACCAGGGTCTTTCCTCCTTGCATCCTCCTGTGGTCCCCAGTGATGCTAGTCTAGACCAACACTTAACGTTACTGCAGGCGCGCTGGAATGGTGCTTTGTGGATCAATTAGATCGGGGGGCTAATGTCTTTACTCATTTAAAGCACAATTTTGAGAAGCTGGACTAATTAAGTATGCATGAGGCCATAAAAGCCACTTGTGGCTTTTTATGTGGCAGAGAACAATCCAGCGCGGAGGGAGCAGACCGCTGAAGGGATCGGCTGCTTTTACTTAATGGGTAACAGGACTAAAGGAAACAGCTGGGTAATTAGCGACAGAGACAAAGGGGCAGCAGTTCCAGCAGGAAAAGACAGGAGGAAGTGCCCTTACCCTGGGCCAAGTGGAAATGAAGTTAGTAGAAGAAGCATGCGGGATCTGTCAGGCTTCTGTTACATTAACTAAGAGGAGGGAGGGAGGGAAGGAGGGAGGGGAGAGATCTGCATTTCCACATCTCAGGAGCCCTGTAAAAATACAGTCCCAAGGCTGGGCTGTGACTCAGTGGAGTGTTTGCTAAACAAGTATGAGGATCTGAGTTTAGTCTCCAGCAACGCTGGGCATGATGGAGCACACTTGGAATCCCAGTGCCTGGGAGGTAGCAGCAGGCAGGCCCCTGGGTTCCCTGGCCAGCTGGTCTAGATTCCTTACTGAGTTCGAGGTCCCAGTGAGAGACCCTGTCTCAGAAAACAAGATGGATGACTTCTGAAGACGTATACCTGAGATCGACCCCTGGCCTCCACACATAGTCACATGCGAGTCCACGTGAACCACGCACAGGCGTATGCATGCACACATGCATACATGCACACACGAAGTCTGGGAGAAAGCTTAGTGGCATGAAGAACGTTAATTTTTTTATTTTTTATGATTTTTATTTGTGGTGCTGAGACTGTAACCTAGGACCTCATGCACACTATTAGAGCCTCCTGCATACTATGCAAGTTCTCCGCCACTGAGCTCTGGTCCTACCACCAGCATAGGGTTTTACAAAACTGGTACTCATCTTGGATTGATGCCATCAGTGACAGGGACATGCGTGGACCATGATCAACCTAAGGCCTGGTTCTCAACATTTATTGGCAAAACCTGACTCAGAGTGTCAGTGTTTAATTCCTTAGTGTTTCCGATTCCACAGGCTTGTGACGGAGCCGGGGGTCTGCAATTATAAGAAGGCCCCTGCCCACTTGTTGCTGCTCCTGATCAGAGGACTCGGAGAGCCCACACTTGGCTGGCTTTCCTCCCATCCGCAACCATCTGAAGATGAAAGGCTTCACTTCTAAGTCAATACAAAGTGCAAGTTCCTCTCCATTTGACATTCAGGGAGAGCCTT